GGTTCTGGTCTGATTGAGATAGCGGCTGCCATGAGCCAGAACTTTGCTATGTTGCTGGTCACCAGGTTCGCGAGTGGTTTCCTGTGAGTATCTCTTATTCTCTTCATCGTCATATTATTAGATGTTTTATTGAACGTAAAAGATTGTATACAGAAATTATCCGATTTTGTCTAAATGTAAGAAGAGACAAGCCCGTGATATTCACACTCTTTTTTTTCAAATAATTAAAAATATCATTTCATTGATAGTATTTATCGGTAACTGAACTTGAAACTTAGTGCTAAGTAGTAAATATAATAATTTGCCTTCTACGATCAATGGTTTTGGCTAAACTTTTTTATCATACAATAAATAGTTTTATTTATATTTGTCTATTATTAATTAATGTCGGCTAGACTTAGTTATTGCTAAATAATTAAACAGTTCACATTACGATACTTGGCACAATAGTCACATTAAATCTATTTCTACTATAATTAAACATTTAATTATTATTAGTGGTCGTAAAACTTAATGAAAATAAGAAGAGAAGGCAGAATATAAAAACTGTGTGTAAGTTATTGAATAATGAACCACTCATTAAACTTTATGGTATTAGATGAAATGAGGTGCATTACTAAATTTTATCAAAAAGTCTTAGAAAACACGGTGTTTCCATATTTATAACATTATAAAAAACATTAAATTATGAAGATGTTTCTAAAGTATTCTTTAGAAACATAACTTTAGTATCTTAAGCCTTTGACTGCCGACAGAAAACCATTGAGGGTAAATCCTCCGCTATCGTGGCCCTTACCTTGTCCCCCATGGCGTTCAAGGTGTTAATGACATATTAAAAACGAACGATACCAAACGTACTTTGAAATTTGATAAAAATGTTATCATATTAAAAATTTGTCAGTCACTAATGAACTCCTTTCCAGCTTCAACGGTCCCTTTGCAGTCCTGATCTCGTACCTAGCAGAATTACACAGAACGGAGCTGAGAGCCCGCGTGATACTGCTGACCAGCTTGTTTTACACCTTCGCCAACACAACCCTGCCTCTCGTGGCCTGGGCTATCCTCACTAAGGACTGGGAGTTCAGTCTCTTCGGAGGAAGTATTAGTAAGTACAATTTTGGCCAAATTTAAAGAAACTTGTCCTTTAGTAATTAACTAAAGTTTTTTGAGTTCAGCACATTTATCTTTAAATGGTCTGCAACGCTATTGTAATTTTTCTGGTGTTCATAATGTTATATAAATATCTGACCATACACTGTCAGGAATAAAATTGTGCCCGGTATATGGCAATAGGCTCACCCTCTATTACCTACATGGGACTCATAACATAAATAGTGAAAAGTGGGTGTTACATTGTACAGTGGCAAAGGTGCACCTTTGCCTACCCCTTAGGGGATAAAAGGCATGATGTTATGATATGTCCATCCACAGTGTTGATCACAGGTGATCTGTTTGCGTTTAGTCTCATAAGAACATCTTCGTGCCATATCATTCCCATACATGGTTTGGCATCTGAAACTGTAGTTAGTATTTGATAACATACTAAAAGTATTTAATGAATTGTATGTGAGAATGAGAATCAAGACTAATTAATCACCATATACCAAAATAATCTCAATATCATGGGCTAAATTGTTCATCTTTACTTTCCAGTAATCCATTCCTGGAACATATTCCTGTTCACAACGGCGCTGATGCCACTCCTGACTGGACTGTTCTTCCTCTGCCTGCCAGAGAGCCCCAAGTTCCTCATGTCCAGGGGGAGGAATGAAGAGGCCATGGCCGTATTCAGGACAATATACAGATTGAATACTGGGAAACCTGCTGAGGAGTACCCGGTAAGTGGATGACTTTATATTTGACATCGTCACATATAAAGCGAACAAAAATGTGTTATAACTGCTTGTTACTTCTAAGTGCTTATTTTTTGTGAAACTACATAAATCGAAATGAGTAAAGCATCGGATTTTTATTTTACGAATGGAAACATACAAAACTAATCATAATTTATTTAAATAAACCCAGGTAAAAGTCCTAGTAGAAGAAAAGAACGAACAGCAGGGACAAGGGATGGCAGCACTGAGAGGAGGCTATGCGCAGCTTGCCCCACTGTTCAGACCTCCTCACGCCAAGTGGTTGTTCCTCATCAGCACCATACACATGGGCTGCATGTTCGGGTGAGTACCTGTTCCTCCAGTTCCTAATCTGTGGGCCTTGCAAAATTTCTTAGGTAGTAGAAGTATCGCTGTGGTTTAGCTCATTGAGAAGGAAAAATAAATAAAATTCAACAGCAAATTAATTAAAATCTTAAAGACGCAACCTACTGCTCAAGTAATAAAATTTAAAATATTAAAACAGTCTCCATAGTCGAGTCCGTTCAGAATATTAATATATCTCCACCCAAATTATCTGACACACATTCTTAACACTCTTCTATAAAATTAAAGCATTCCAGTTCGTGCTCAGTATATGGCAGATATGAGCAGACACTTCTGACTGCCTGCCAATAAATGGGTCAATGTTCGGTTCCCGTGTGGTTTCAAGCGGTTAAGACAGAACTATGTTACACGCTCATCTTAATAAATGAAACCAGTCATTATTGTCTTTGTCAATAATTAAACAATGTGAAGCAATGCACAAGAGTTATACTGTTTTCGATGATTGATTGTCTTAACTGACGGCAGTTTTGATTCCCATAACGGGCATCGTGATAGCATGAACATTTCGAGTTGTATCTTACTCGCCACCTCGACCTACATAACATCACGCCTTTTATCCCCGAAGGGGTAGGCAGAGGTGCACATTATACCACTGTATAATGTAACACCCACTTTTCACTATTAATGTTATGAGTCCCATGTAATAGGGGGTGAGCCTATTGCCATATACCGGGCACATGTCCAGACTCCGTGCTACTACTGAGAATATTTAAAAACCCAGTAATACTTTGCCCGACCTGGGAATCGAACCCGAGACCCCTTGCCCTGCAGTCGCACTTACGACTACTCGGCCAACGAGGCAGTCAGAGCAGGCCACCTCGACCTGTTCCAATGAATGATGAATCCGACTAGTTAAAATTGGGTTCCCTCTAAGTTTATCTTGGTTTTAGGCTTGATGGTCTAATGTTAAATATTAATTCAACAATAGTTCAATAGATCGGTCTCCAATCACCTAAACCCACGTCTTGAAAGCACACAATGAGGAGATTGTGTGCGTTCAAGACGTGGAGTAGGAACTCCAAACGAACAAACACAATCTTCACTTGTTTTTTTCTGTCCATCTATCTGTTTATCCTCCATATTCTATTTTCACATCAACGATTTACCCTACAGTTCCAACACCATCCGTCTCTGGTACCCTCAACTGGCAGCCATGATTGGCAACAACGCGAAGGGTCTCTGTTCAGCCATTGCTCCATCCGCCACACATGCAGTAGCTGTTGACGAGATCTGTGTTCCTATTGTGGCTGATATGCTAACATACCTACAAAGTGCTGCTGTCGGAGCAGGATCTGTGCTGACCTATGGAATTGGAGGTGCTATTGTCAATAGGTAAGATTTATTACATGAGTTTTTTTTTTAGATTTAAGAGGTATCTTGAGGTGAAATGGTAATGGGATTTTCTATGATCGTGGGCAGGTATTAATTTTTGTGTTGTGTTATTGGACATTCTGGTGAAAACTGTTTTAGTACGAAAACCTTTATGAAAATGGAATTTCTAAAATATTAATCTAGTTTTCTGCAACACTTTTTGAAAAAAGAGGAATCAAATTAATATTTCTTTTAACTCTCATAGATGCGGTAAACGTCTAGTCTCAGGATTCTGCGGCGTCATCAGTGCCTGTCTGATTATCATGCTGCCATTCTTGGGTACCAGCGCGTACGCAGTGGTTGCCATGGTAACCTCTGCGCTTGCCTTCACCTCACTCTGTGGTGCTTCGCTGTCCAGCATCACTGTGGACTTGTTCCCGACGTCACTCAGGTAAAATAGAAATGTAAAAGTTCTTTAAGTGTAAAAATCACAGGAATTCTTTTTTTCTTGTCTTGGGGGGATTTGTGCCTAATAGTTGGCATTAGTTCTATTTATTCCATACTTAATTGTCCATTTGTAAGCTAAATACAAAGACTGTAATTTATTATACATTCATAGATTATACTCATCGTTATAATAATAGAGTTTATCTTTTGCAGAGTAATGGCAATGGCAACATTCCTGATGTGCGGTCGCCTGGGTACCATCACTGGCACCGTCATCTTCCCCGCACTCATAGACTACGGATGCCTCCCGCCTTTCATTACCATTGGCTCCGTATTAACTGGTGAGTTAGAAATTATTTTTTTCTTAATAAATAACTTGATCGAAAGGTTTGAATCAATGTTTCACTAATGTCACTTGTTTCACTTGTGTCACAAAATTCCAATATAACGCCATCTACTGGTTTAATATTGTATGTACTGGACCATACAAATTTATACGACATCCCACGTTATGTGGCGCTCTCTACACAAAAGATTATGAACCGCTTTACATATGGCGCCCTCTAAAGTTAGTAGCAATTGTTTCTCAACTCACCAGCCAATAGAAATGCTTCTCCAACGCGCCACACGTTATGGTGCGCGTATTCATAACTAGATGGCGTTGTTCTCCACTTCGCTAATTGATCTATTTTTGTTGCAGTGTGCGGCCTGGCGTGCTTCTTGCTACCAAATACTACTCTTAAGAAATTAGAGTAATTTGTGTTTATTATAAGCGAATGACGAATATGACTGTAAATAATGTGTGTGTATGTTATTTTATGTATGTTTATACTGTTGTTTCTATGTGTAAAGTATTTATTATGATTATGTATTTAAAGACAATGCCATAAGTATAAGATAAAAAGAGTGGATTGACGTAAATCATTTTTATATGTTATTTTGTAATTTAATGTAATGTGTAAATTTATGTAAGTACCTAAATAAATTGGTATAAAAAAAGAAAAAAGAATGAAACTGCGGAAGTTTTAAAAATATTTCTCTTTTATTTATAATTTATCATAATCTAATTTCATCCATCTTTTCAGTCAAACTCACAACAATTTACCGGCGAATCAGGGAGAACAATTACTATCTACATTATTCAATTTTATATTATATTTAGCTTTTGACGTTTTTTTAAATACTTTCTCAAAAAAACAGACAACTTGACGATTTTCCAATTATCTTTTTAGCTATTATGGGAGACATAACATGATGAGAAAAAAAATACGAAATATGTTATTGCTGAATTATAAAGTTAAAAATAATTAAAAATACGTCAAAACTTATTTCGTTTAAGGCGCTACATCAGTCTAATGCAATGACTAAACAGCTTTACCCCGAAACATTAATAAATAACTCATAATTATGCTTTTGTGACTGCATAAAATACAATTTATTGTGAACAAGCTGCCATTCGCATTATTTACATGATTTTTTCAAAAAAACAAATGCTACAGATTTTTTAGTACAATGTTATTGCACAGTGAGTGTTATAGAAAAAATTGTAGACAAAAAAGTTAATTGATTTAAATAGATTTTTCTTCTCTTTGGGTCCAATATTTATTGTTGATTTTTTATTTATTATCATTGTACTTAAAAATCTTATAGAAAATAGACGTTTATAGTCTAAAATGGTCCAAACTGGCCTGACTCACTGCTGGAACAGAACGAACAAGCACTGTCGCTACATAGACTAGATTTTATTTCTTATTGTCCAATCACTTTGTCTAAGCGATTATACACTTAAATTCGAGGATTTACGCCTGCCCACCACTAGGGCGTAACATACATCCTAAAAGATACATTTAAGAATTTTGTTCAAATTTTTCTTCAGCCAACGTTACGCCGTAGTGGGAAGCAAGCTTCACAATAAAAATCATATTATATAATGTATATATATGTATAGAATTCTTATAGGCCAGTGAAATTGACTGTTTCTTACATACGATTCAGGATAACCCGATTATTTAATATTATTATTCCATTATAACGCAAGGCACATTATTATCTGTCATTAAAACTATTTAATTCAATAAGATTGCACTTTTACAAAAGTATTATATCGGCAGATCTTTCTTTAAACTTAAATTGTTTAAAACTCTAAGCGAATCCATGTTGCTCCCATAACTCACAAAACTGAGATAATTACGAATCGATTTTGAGACATTCCGTATAATAATGCCATACGTATAAAAAGGTTTATATCGTTGCCAAGTAATTAACTAATTTTCTTGGTCCGATGGTCGAATTCGAATTCCTATAACAGCACGCTTTTATACCCATGGAATATTATTAAAAATCTCTCAAAACACTGATTTTTCCACTTGAGGTCAATAAAAATGCTTTTCACACAGCCTTTTCCACTTTAAACGAATTCTCCAATACAAACATTGTGTCAAATTATATTTCCATTATGTATACGTACGCTTTTGTAAAAAAAAATGTTGAAATTATAGACTAACACTTAAATAGTTACATGCTAAGGTAAGGCATATTCCATAATTATAAATAATTAATTACAAATATTTATAGTACATACATGTAACACTATATATACAGTCTCGCATGTCTTAAAGCCGAGTTTATACAATATGTACAATTTTAGAAAACTTGTATAGATCACTATACTCCGCATCTAAGGCCTCAACTTTGATAGGACTTGTGATACAAGAGAGAAATCTGAGGGTCGCTGAACTAGTTACTCCACAACTAAATTGGCTAGCTCCAATCTAAGAGAGTAGCTAAAATGGCACTTTCAAAATGGAGTAATGAACTGATGTGAATGAATGAACAAGAATGTCGATAGGATGGGAATGATCAATATTATCCTCCTCAGATTTGTCCATTACATCATGAATCCATCAACAACACCATCGTACATCGCATATAACCTGCACTATTTACATTATTATGGTAATTGTCAAAAATGACTGAATAAAAAAGTACACATTCTGCCGTCTTGGTACTCTCGCGCGCAATATGGAGCGAGAGTAACAAGCAAAGTAAGGGTAGACTAGTCTTATATAAGTCTCTTAGAAATATCCACGGCATAATGGGTAATAATTTAAGTAACAAATCCATAATGATAACAAAACAATAATGTACCATTATTCCCAACAAGATGTATAAAAATCACCCAGATCCGGGTTCTAATATGTGTGCAACGCACTGTACTGTACACTCGAGGCCCTGAAAAATTGGTCAACCAAGGAATAAAAACAATTTTGTATCTAAGTATTAACTACTTCATAAGTATCAGTGTATATTTAATGCTCTAATTTTTAGAGGGAATGAGCATGTTCCCTATTTCTTGTTTTATCTCTAGATGAAGACTTTTCCATGGCAACGAGTGTACAAAATAATAATGTCCATTAAACAAAACTTCACTGAGTTCATTAGAAAATGTTCACTTCACTTTTGGTCCGTTTTCCACTGTTTTAAGTTCATAATATGTCTGTGTGACTGTTTGCTTTGAGGGAACTGAGAAAAGTTATACCTAATGGTGATTAAAGTAATCTGCTTCTGAAATCGATGTTAACATGACCTATTTTATCTGCAATCGTGTTTTACATTATCAGTTTTGGGCAATCAGCACACCGCGGGGAGTACCCGTGGGTTTAGGTAATAGGTACTCAAATCTCTCAAAGCTAACAGCCACACAAAATCCACTGCACTTTACTTGCGTCAGCTTGGGGGTGCAAGCAGTACCTCCAGCCAACATGGACACGCCGTCACATCCCGCCTCGAGTACTTAGGTCCCCAACCTTTTGCGAACGAGATCCTCACCGACCTTGGGTCTACAGGGCCAATGTGGGGTAGGGAGATCGCTGGGGGTGGACAAGAAGGGTCGAAGATACAGAGACAGTGGCCTGGAGCCACTCTCCACACGAGCATGGCCTTGGCTGCGGCAGCGTCCAGTGCTGGTGAGCTGACGAACACTGGCTCCTGGCTGCGGTTGTAAAGCCACACCCCGTCCGATTCCAGTGACAGGGTGACACCTAACCCGATCTTTGCTCTTGTTTTCTTCACCTGAAATAGAAAAAGTCCATGTTTTATTATTGCTGATTATGCACTACTGTTTACTGCACATTCCTATCTGAATATCTTGTTCAAGATAAGATTAGATTAAAAGTCAAAAGAAAGGTGAACACTGTTTTATAATAATTCGAGAGGGTGGGATGCTCTTGTCTCTATAGTAATTATCCTTATCGCTTGAATTTATCTGCTATCAGAGCTCGCTAGGACTCGTAAAAGATAAAATCCTGTTCAAACCAACCTCGATTTTAATTATTAACGTCAGCGCACTTCTGCAGCGTTTTAGTGAATCATAAATTATTGCATCATCGATCAAGCTAACGAACGAAATCAGCCTCAGAATGAAATCTAACTTACTTAAAAGTATTTTTCAAATTACTAGACAAACGAGAATTTCTAATTATACAATCAAAATCTAAAATATTTCCGTCATCACCAGCAGTTCACAACAGGACATAGGCCTCCTCAAACACATAATTCTATTTAAAACTCGAAGTATCACTTTTGCTAAAATCGTTGAGAATCACTAATAATATCGCGTTAAGTCCCACAAAGATTGTGTTCGCGTACGAGAGGTTATCTCGGGTTATCACGTCGCCTTCCTACTCTCAATCAATGTGGCTATCTTCTGCCATTGTAATCGCGAACACTTTCGAGCTTTTGATTTTAATTACTTGTTTCAAATCTATTTTATAAAAGTTTACTAAGAAATTTAGGAAAGGAATATTTTTTTAAAAGCCTGCCTTGAGTGTTACATAGTTTAGTAGATGTTTAAAAATGACACCAACCTGATCAGCCTGATGTCCATCTACCCTTTGATCCAAGGCATCCAAGCACAGCCCATGTCTCCCAGACCCACAGGCCCCTCCGCCCCCACCGAACACGTCTACCGCCCTCAAACGGACACCGAACTGACGACCCACGCGCTGGGTCAATTCCCAATACGCGAGCCGACACCATTCTGAATCCCAGCTCTGGCGTTCTGGAAAGAAGAGAAAGAAGAAGGGAATGAAACATCTTGGTCTTACAGACTTAAAATTACTGATATAGATTTTAAAGGCCCTAACTGTTCCAATGTTTAAACAACCAGTTTGTAAGAAGTTTCATAAATATCTAAAGAAGTTCATATGCTACAAGTCTGATTCAAACAATACCACATTAACCGACTACTGGTACAAATCCAGATAGTTCTATCCGTTTCAATGCCTGACATCACTTTTCCAAAAACTTGGCTCAGCTAAACCATTCGATGCCAGCTGACGAGCATCGATATATCCGGACAGTTTAGTTAACCAGTAACATAACACCGCTAGTGACGAAAACCTATTGTGTTAAAAACTACAAGCCATTGCCAAAAGTTCAAGAAAATCTTTCCTACAAGTCAAAGTGATGATTTTTGCATCCGATTTGATGAAGTCATTGTCGTTTCCAAAATAGACGATACTGTTTGAAATCATGATGAAATAAAATCACCAAATGTAGAGGTGTGTAAGTAAACAACACTATATAACAGGACTTCAATTGAAAAAAGATTTAATAAAATCTAATTCATGGTAATCGATGAGTCTAGTCGCACTGTCCTTGGTGTTACTTAGTAATACAGTATCGATATACTAGAGGTATAATATATTACAGAATTAAATATTAATGAATGAAAAAGTATTGGTGTTACTACGGTCTTTCCAATAAGCAGTAAACTTATAACCAATGAACAATGCCTAGGTTACGTTAGACCACACCGTTAATATTTATGTATTTCAAAATTCAGCACAAGAATTTTTTCCACCTGTCAATTAAGATTCTAAAAAGAAATCTAACCCATAAACCATACACCACCAGATCAAGATGTACAAAATAAATATCAAAATACTATTCAAAGAACATCAAAATATATTCCAAATAGTGGTAAAACAATACAGAAATTGAGTAAACCACAAAACCCATTGAAATCCCATGATATTAGCCAAGACAATACCATCACCGTTCGATCCCACGGCGTTTGTACTGGCGCCGTGGTATGGGGTGGCGCCGTCGCGGCGGGCGCGATCGATCGTCAAGGTTACCGCCATCAGACATGGGTTTGGGACACCACTTAGCTAACTGGTGGTGTTTGCGTGGTGGGATCTAAGTACTGGTTGACGTGGGATTGTGAACTACTACTGTGCAATGTTTGCAATCAGAAAACATTGTAGGTGTTCCTCAATTCTGTAAATACCTTAATTGTGATGGAAATTACCGTCTTTGAACTTATTATTTCTATCAATGAGTACATACTCCTCTAGGTTCCTCTAAAGTAGAGATTGTTTTTCAACCATCCGATGAAATATTTCTTTTAAATCGTCTAACTGATGCTAATTAATTTCTTCTGCAATTTTAGTAATCACAAAACAGTAAATCTATCAATTTTCCATCAAATGCCATTAACGCTACTGGAAACTCCGTATCCGTAAATGACCCTACTATCCTAGCTTCTTCTAAATTGCGTATTTCCTATCCGCCGCGTGAAGAAAATCAAACTCATAGTTTCTTCAGACTCTGCAAAATCAAGGAGTTTTTCGGGAGTATAAGATGAGATATTTACCTTCACCGTCAGTAGCCAGGGATCCTGAGACAAGCCGCTCATGGTCCGTCCTCCGGGCGTCCTCTGTACTCTCGCCATGCTCTGAGGACAAGAGACACGAAGATATCAGTATGATGCCACTATTTCTGGTCAGCTGGAAGAAGTGCATAGAAAATGTTGGTAAAAAGAAGAAAGAGATGAGAAGAGTTTTGGCTATTTGAAATTTACACTAAGAATAGACATCAATTTTATTTCAGAGACAAATATTGAAGTTTAATGGGTCATTTCATAATGTTGTATAGTCATAATTTGCAAACAATATGGTTTTCGTAAATTTTCCATTTCATTCCCTAAAATTGAAATAAAGTGGTTCACATAACACCCACTTTTCGCCGGTTACGAGTCCCATGTAATGGGGGGCGTGTACACCATTACCTAAACTGGACATCGAACGAACATTACAAGGTCCGCTATTATCTCTGTAGAAAATAGACCATTACGACGTTAAAACTTATTTCCCACTAGACATGTTTGGACAAGCTTCTAGACCATTAAAAAAATAATGGCGGTCTTTCTGACAGGTTTGAGAGTGACATCACAGCCTGCACTCACACATACACAGCCACTCCTATGTAACTTAATTTATTACATACATGTACGATATCATGTTTTGAGTGAGAGTGACAATTCAATTTGGATTTTTTGGGGTCCTTGGAAGGATGGAGAAACCAAGATATTGCGTTTTTTATTCCAAAGGTTTTGTCACCGTTAAAGTACTACAAGTTTTGTGTCCTGTTAAGTCTGTTATATACTCCAAACTATTTCAAAACTTCATGTTAAGTTTACAATGAAGTTGTCTATCAACTTATTGATTATTGCAGATCCAGGCTCAATATAATCACGATTAATTAATCAAATATTCACCACATTGAACCCTAGATTAACAGTAAGGCGTGCTATAAATTATCATGCATTTATTTGTATTTATAATGTTGCACATATTTTAATTTTAATTGCACTATGGCGCCTGTACTCTCAAACATAAATAGTTAATACAATAATAGATTTTATATCAATGTACTGACGTACCGTCACGCCGTTTGCTAGTGAGGTAAGCAGGTCTCAAGGGTAGCAGTAGTTGGCGCCGGTAAATATGCGGATACAACATAAATGGAATGAAATGATGGTATTATTGACTTCCGACAGATGTAAAGGGCGATGTTCTTGGCAAATTAGGTGTTGAGAAGGTTGATTTATACTTTTTTGCTATTGTTCGACACGTTTGGCTTTTTATATTGACTTGGATTTTGTTTAATATTGCTGTATAAAAATGTGTCTGGTGTTAATGGCGGTAATTGCGAACATATTTGTTTTTGGTAGTAAAATCAAAATAGCCAGGGCCATTGTCAAAATTTGGTTTTACTGTTTAGTAACAGTTGTGGAAAAATTGAACTGATATATCTATTTTTGTCATTTATTATATTCTTACATACATACTGTTTACTTTACTTAACTTCAAATGTTCTTTCACAAGTAAATATATTTAGGTTAGCAACGTCAAGTTAAAATAATCCCTCTATGAAACATAATCTTCAATTTGGTCAAGTATATAAATAATGTAAAGTATATAAGCTGTATGTCGTGGCCGCTGTGCGTAAGATAGAATACATTAACATATTACCGACCAAATCAAGGCCATATACTAGCCATGTATAATTATATATATTTATATATGTATACACCGACCACTATGTAATTAAACGTAGAAGGTGAAACGTCTATAGCAGACCTTTTTGTTCATTAAAACAATGAAAAAAAAATATTTACTACCATTTTCCTTCCATATTATCAAATCTTTTTCATATATAATACAAAGATAAGTTCAACACCAATTTAAATCAATAGACTTTACAACAAGGCCAAACTTTAATATTTTCTCAAACAGTAATAAAGGCCCTCAATATGAGCCAGTGCCCGTCTTTGTTGCTGTGCCGTCTGAGCCTACTGACTGCGTCTATGTAGCGGCCCGGCCACACTCGTTGAGAAAGATATCCTATTAAATGAAATTTAATACTTTGCTGTGTTTCTAAGGAGATGAATGTTAGTGTTTGTCCGTGTGTGAGTCAGAACTCTTGTATCTCCATAACTTAAAAGTCAGATCTTTGATCTCTTTCAATAATCCTCACAATACTTCGTCATTGATGGCATTATTTTAAACCAAAATATCAATACTATTGTGAATTCTAAATAGACTCAAACTTGTTACTGATAAATACACACTAAATCTTGCAACAATACTTAAAGCATCATGTTTAGAAAACCAGAGGAATCTTATACAATAGCTGACAGTCAGCTTGTTATACTTAAGCAACACCCATTCATAGAATAACAGACGCAGACAAACCCGCGGCGCAGCGCATGCTTCTCTATTGAGAACTTCGCTCCACGTGTATCAAAGTTTACAACAGTTCGCGTTCCTTTATAACAATATTAAACATTATGTGTATTGTATTATCTCGCCACTGTTGTATATCGTATGTTGCTAACTACACCTCGTGTCATAGTTTTGCACAGCAATAAAGGACGAGTGACAATCAAATTGCAAACAATATTTGACAATAATTTGAATCTGTCAAAATTAAATATGGAACGCTGAAGATGGCGGAGTTTTGTGAACTTATAACCAGCCAGTCTTTTGTTTGGCCAATATTCATTATTGTTACATTTCTTGGTATGTTTTGTATTTAAGAGCATTGTGTTAAATTACGAGTCAATGGATGTGAATCAGAATTATTTTTCAGCTTAAAACTAATGAGACACACGACAGAACCTAATTTTACTTCATTAAAATGTCTATTAACAAACAAAACAAACACCTAAGCGCATAACCTCAAAGAAATGTCAAACAAAAAACTAAATTCTCTTTAATAAAAAGTCTAAAAACCCTTCAAACGACGGCCCTATTATAAAAATTACTGCAGCATACTTCTTTAACCCCTAACTACGCTTAGCAAGAGAAATATGTTCTAAACATTGTAAGTAATATGTTCATAAGAAAAAGGCGAAAGAATTCAAGTATGCGGCCTGATAGGCGAGACTCCCGCCGAATAGTAGAAAGCTCAATGACACCGCTGTGGGGTCTTTTAGACCTCACGACAGGGTTACGACTGGAATAATTGTGGACGAAGATAATCTGTGAAAATGTTTCGGTATCTCGGGTGTTTTATTAATAATTTGATTTGAAATAACATTTTTGGCTTTTATTGTTACCGAAAAGTGAAAATTAATATTTTATTGACGTTTAGTTCTTAGGTGCTATTTGGAAATGGTGATGACAATAGATTAATGAATATTCGGAAGTAAATGGCATTTTCGGTATTACATCGACCATCTGACTAGTATAATTTTATTAAAACGATACAAACAGATCCTATAGGTTACTGAGAGTAGCAAGTTAAATAAAATCTATTTTGTTAGTTTTAAAATGTCCAACAACTCCCTAAAGCCAATGATTGTACCGTAAAGTTAATGTTCCAAGCATCCCGTTCCGTACCCGCATCGTTTCGTCTAAGATGCGCATGCGCATGACACAGAAACGCGAGCGTTTTATACGGCTTGTTTACAAGCCGACGCTGCACGGTTCCCGAGTTCGGTTCAACCATACAAACACACAAGTACTTGCGTGAGATGAAGCAGTAACGAACACGTATCTTACGTTATATTGATCGGATTTTGTGTCTAAGTGCACTAATAATAAAGCTTAAGAGTTCGTTTGTTTCAATACACGTATATCTAGAACTATAGAGGTGGAAAACTTCGATGCCTTTAATTCACGGTGCTTCTACGATGCCAATGTAAAGAGATAAAACAAAAGATAAACGCTACCGTCAAATACTTAAAAGACCTTCAGTCGAAACTAGTAACATAGAAAGATTTTAATAGCATATAGATCCATAGTGATTTCCGACTTTACTGTAAAAAGCATTAGATTAAAAATCGATTAAAGCTGTTCAGATTAGAGTACTTTAATCTGCTGGCGCCACAAATGAGTCAGAATGATGAAACATGGCTTCATAACATGTCAAAGCACACACTCTTAGAATGACGTATCTAATTCTCTTAATCAGCTGTTCTATCAATAATGGGTATGACGCTAACCACTTGCGTCTGTAACCAGCTGATTGTGATAATCACGCTATTTTTATATACCTCTACAATACCATCAGACATACTTCAGTTGAAGTAGGTGTTACGAACTCATACTATCACCCATATTAATATCTTTGAGAAAGTCAGGACTTTCCATCAAGTTCTTCTCGTGATTCTTTGTTCATATGGTAGAATATGTATGTGTTAGGAAAGTAATATAAAATATATTTTTCGTCATCAATTAACGTTCTTTTGTTTTCTTCTAGAAGATAGTGGACAGTTTAAAAATCTTAATGTTCGTGATAGTAAAATAAGCTGCCTCGTTGGCCAAGTGTTTGCAAGTGCGAATGATGAGCAAGGGGTCTCGGGTTCGATTCCCGGGTCGGGCAAAGTATTACTGGGTTTTTTTTTAATATCTCAGTAGTAGCATGGATTCTGGAACTGTGTCAGGTATATGGCAATAGGCTCACCCCTATACATGGGGCTCATAACATAAATAGTGAAAAGGGGGTGTTACTTTGTACAGTTGCATTAAGTGCCATAATGTGCACCGCTGCCTATCCCATCAGGGATAAAAAAGGCGTGATATTATGTTATGTTAAAATTAGTTAAAGATTAAATTCTTTCATAACAATTTGAAATGTATGTGTGAATACGTGTTACAATGTTATCATAGTGTAACTTTAACACCGAACTTTTCGCAAATGTTTATGCTCTGAAAATATAAAAGATATGACAAATTACATAACACGATAAGATCAGCTCGATATAAAATTAAAAACAATTCGGATTCAGATTTAAATATGGTTTTAAACCACAAAATTACATATAAATTGTAAGTACGTAATGTTTAATTACTTGCATCTTTGCTTACCCCAAAACGGCATAAGTTAAACGACACACAGAACGTAAGTGCATATATAAGAAAAAGACAAATACTAGCAGTATATTTGTGTCACCCGAGCGGCGCCGGCGCCTCGATAAACGCAACGATACCGACACGATAACGTTAATGGACACACTCTTTATCACCGCACGCACACTACCACACAATTGCCATTAAACCTACCGAAAATAACCTCTCCGCAACCAAAGAACGCACTTCAGACTCCAAAAACAAAGACCAAAATTGAGAAATCGAATTTTTGACACGTAAAATTTACTCTACAGTCCGAAAAGTGACTTTAAAAGTATCAGACAAGGTTGAAAATGCCGTGAACGTTATGCCAGATGATTTTAAGGTATGAATGGATTCGGGGAAGTGCGGTAATGGGTCCGACCGGAATGTCAATGTCAGTCCTATCTGGAAAAAGGATGGGTAGAGGTCCCATTCAAAAACAGGATATCAAGGTTCGAACCGTAAGTGGTTTGATATAGCTAATGTATGCCAGAGTTGTTGTCACATTCGTCTTTAAATGTAGTTTGAGGGTTCCGCTATTCGACAAAGACCCTACATTTTCTCAAGACAGAAAAAAAAACAGTAGCATTTTTTGAACGTTCACAATTCTGTTCTATGACATCGTCTATCCAAGTTCTTAAAGGCAAGAATATTTTTGTATTCTGCCATCCTTATTAGAATTTAGCATTTACATTATAATAATACTCTCTATTTGAATATCAATGCAAACGAGTTACCACAATAAAAGCTATATCCCACAGTATAAAGCTATCACGCTATTGTTGATTACGAACATAAATTAGCAATATTATACCCGAAGGTAGACCTACGCAGTAGTTTGGTTATCCATCAGTGGATTAGGCACAGCAGCCAAAGGACCTTAGAGGTTAGGCCAGAGATCACACTGTGAATGAAACAGGTTGTATATGTTAACCCTAAGATAAATAAGAAAGTTGCAAGAAAAGCCATGAAAATCCCCACGAAATAAATCATAGTCCCAATTGAGTCACTGTTAGCAGAACAAATCCTAACCCTTTCAAAGTTAAGCAAACAACACAAGGGATTACGGCACGACAGGCGCCGAAAGCAATGAAAAACGAGGGGTTAGCCAAGAACCATGGGAAATCCTATGATGAACGTTGCGAGGGAATCCCGGCGATAAAGAGCGAATTTCGCACCCCTATGCTTGCATGCATTGATTGTGCAGGGATTTCCGGGATGACAGCGTTTAACGAGTTACACCCGCAATTAAGGTTATGGAAAAATATGTATATAACTGGGAAACTTCATTTTCCATAGTGTACACAGCACACGACTTGCTAACCCTACTAATGCCAATGAATGAGTATGGACGACCGCTTTATATCGTACCAAAAGATAAATTATCAACAGCTTATACAACTAGATACCTATTAAAACGAATTTTACGCAGCAAAAGACAAAAATCTAATTGGTTTTATTCGTACACATTCAAATTATCAACATTAATCCTTTATAATCGTATAATCAAAAACTATCTTGCTTCCTCTTGAAAGAGCTCAGAGAGCTATTTTAAAGGTTGCAAACTTCCATCCCTATTTCTATCCCACAGATCAACTATATAAATTTTGTAACGTACTAACAGTCCGCCAGCTCTTCATTTTACAAGTAGTATTAAAGCAGCATACTATGCTCTCATACAATGCTAACAATACTAATAAGAGACGGAATGATATAGTATGCAGTTCCAATGCAACTAGAAATGTTTTTGCCGAAAGATTCTTTTCATTTTTAGGTCCACTTTTGTACAATAGATTAAATAGAAAATTAAGCATTTTTACATTAAACTATTTTAATTGTAAAAAAACTGTTATTGCGTTCTTGCGTAATACTGCATATTCGCAGACTGAAGACTTACTGTTGGTCGATAGATAATCTGCTAACTCGCTGTTTTTACCTTTTAATTTTATGTTCTGTAAGATTTATTTTAGTACTTTATACTGTTAATTTATTTATAACTTTAAAATGAAAAATATTGTACTGAATAGTCTGAAACACAGGTTCTACCTAGTTCAGGCTAATAAGCAACTGAGCTCTAATCAAATCGTTAAGATACTATACATGTAAATATTTCCCTTTTTATAAAATAAACAATTTATTATTATTATTATTATTATAATTGTGTAACGTATCAGCATTACGAAGCACGTGCCTCTCTCATTATTCAAACCGAAATCCCTATTACCGAAAATAATACGGGAACATCAACGCTGGGGTCTATATTATAAACAAATACCGGATCACCGCGTGGTGCCTTTGAAGGGACGTGGAAAAAACTCAAAAGTCCGTTTGCTGAGCGGCGCAAGCATTAATAATGTAGTTTAAAGATGGCGCTGGAATGCGCGCGCAGGCTGAGACGGTGGGGATGCGCGGGAGTCGATAGTGATGTGCACTTACAAATACCGTAATCTATCATTTATTTAATGTTGTATTTGTTGTTGATTATATTGTTTTAAAGGAAATAAACATACACATTGGTTCAAAATTCTAGTGATATCTGCAAGGCGCACGACCGCAACGGACCCCGCATCTATTAATTACAGTATTTAATTAGCACCGATAAGTGTGTTTGCGAAGTTCGTAGTTATCGCTACCATTATCTGTTTGTATGACAGAAATTACGTAAACATGTGATTTTTGTAACAAACTTTGTGGTTAATTAGCTAGCAGTGTGAATGAAGCGATTTTTTTATATTCTTTAAAATGTGATTTTGAATGAAGTTTTGTCGAAATATTATCTGGTATTTTAGATAAAGATGTTAAAGTTTTAAAATATTTTCGTGTTCTTTTTGTTTAATTTTGATAAAAAACATAATGTTTTATGATAATATTTTCAGCATTACAACTTCAATACTAGGTTTTAACTTTATCTTTAAGACATTTTAAATAAGTACACATTTTTAACAACAAATCTATCGATACTTTAAAATATTTACAACAGATACAACACTAAGCATCCCTAATTTCCAGGAAGCTGCGCCGGCGCCGGTGCGGTCGGATTCCACGATCTACCGACTTTTGTCAGTGACCATCTATGATCTATGATTTTATAATGCCCACTGTATTTCTATTAGGAAACTGTAATAATATATGAGCTTGATACAGTTATTTATTAGTCCTTCATCGGGCGAATGAGTTACGATTGCAAGAGACATACAATTTTATAGATTTTTTTCTGATTTACAGAGAAAAATTCTAAGTATTGCTTAATAATAGCCTTAGGTTTACCTAAAACCAGATTTGTGCCATTATTTAAGGTCAAATAAAGGGTTTTCTGGTATATTTTTTCTCATCAACCTGGTCTTGTCCTTCTCCAATATGAGATGCTTTTGAAATAGAATCTCAACACTAGTATGGATTTATTAACCAATTAGTTTCTAGTAAAAACACTTCATTTTACAATGAATAGTAAATTAGGTGGTAGATACTTAACTAGTATTCAATTTAAGTTATTTCTTACCTTTAGGTTTGAGGTCTTCCATTGCGTATCGACTATAAGGTGGAGGAGGGGTTTCTGTAAACAAAGAAAATCCAAAATTAGTATACATTATTATTTTCCTACGGTCACTTTAATATAAAATTACTTTAGAGTACATTTTCTAAAATTGAATAGTAGCAATAGTTCCTTATACATGTATTTCTACTCCAAAGCAATAACGAATTCACAGTTGACCATTAAAGTTACGTGATTAAGTTACATATCAAGTTCCCAAGTTGGTTCAACGGAAAAATTAAAAGAGGAATGCAAAAAATCGCTCAAACTTTTTTCAATCGCCACTAATCACCCGCGTTACCCGTCTCGACCGAAAAATAAAAGAAATCCAACTTAAAACAAACAACACGTAACCGGATCAGGTAAAAACGAACCCAGACCGCCCGCAATTATGTCCAACCGTGGAATCGAATCTTGATCACCGACTAAATAATGACTAACCTATATTTTGACCTCATAACGACAATTTTATGTGCCCTTTTCGATCAAATGCCGCTGTCATTTGTGACGAATATGTAATTTTGGACAATCAAAAAATAGATTTTGACTTAAAACAATGAAGCCGCCCAATATTTTGTGGAGACTAGAAGAGACGTTTCCTGGCTCTGAGAAAGAACCAGGAAAGAACACAAACAAAGTAACGTTAAATAATGTCGTTTGAATCCAGAGCGCGATCTATTCCATTTACGAACAAGCAGGCACGCGCTATTGGTCATTTAGAATTTCGTACGCCATTAGTATTTTCAAATTCTGAATGTGAATTGTGCAATTGTCATTTGCAATTCGGCGCCAGGCGGCTGTGGACGTGTCAACATTGTTTTTCAACCGAATCGATGCCGCTGGACATTTTGAATACAAATTATATGACCATTATAATCACTGAATTCAATATATGATTTTATGATGTACACCGTGCGCACCGTTCTCAGAACTGTTTAACGGCGTTTGCACAAGAAATTTCTAAACAATCAATGCATGCACCTGCATATCGAATGGATGATAAAACTCGGAATTTCGGAAGATCCGACATAAATCATGTGAAATTTTATTCGTTTTTTATTACGTGGTACAATCTTTAAGTGCACTTAAATTCATTTTATTATATTGGAACCGTACGATTTTGTTGACAGCTAGGTACACAGACGTTAAATGTTAGTCGACAGCATCTCAAATAAGATTAAAGACTCCTTTCAGTGTTATGAATATTGTAGCATGAGCTGTATGAGTCACATGTTTTCGACGCACACCCGACACACTGCAGCTGAAAAAAGAGTAAACGATGCAAGAGTAAATGACCCTAAACGCCTAGCGTAGCATCTAGCAGATATAAATAATATTGTTGTTGAACTTTATGTCCATACGAGTGAGCTCAACAACAACCTTGCCATTAACGAACAGCCAAAACAAACTCTAATCTGTCGCGATAAAACTGATATTCAAATCACCGGCACCCGTGATATCTCACCTTTTTGCAACAACAAACTATAGCATATAAATATATAGAGAGTGGCGTGACTGAAATTACTTTTACAATTGTTACATCATAAACACCATACATTATTAACGGAAAAAAGACTTTGTCGTGACCGATATAGAGTGCAGTTTCCTAACAGCTTTAATTAGAAATCATTAGTTCATTTGCTTCGAAGCTTAAACTTGCAACGAGTGCAAATTGATTTGTATCGAATGTCGAGGGGCGAGGGTTTAGATTTCAATGTGACGCGGTGGTATATCGTGTTTCAATTATCGAAGGGATTCGTCAATGAAGAATGGATCCTGTACAAATTTAGATAAAGCTTAAATTTGATGTGCACATGAAGGAATGCCGTCTGATGAGGTAGATAAGTATTACGGTAGGCGCGTATGGAGGCCCGGCATGTGTAATTAATCTAAACATTCAATCTATAGCAATAAATACCGTAGGTTGTCAGTGTGTCCTTCGATTACTATGTAACTGGCGAACCGGTCGGCCTGGCCGGCTCCCTCCGCGTCCGCAGCTCTATTCACAGTATGTTCTGCAACCAGTATGGCGGCGGCGGCGATAATAAATATCAAAAAATTTATTCAATTGCTTTGATCAGTGCAGGACAGTTAGCCTATTAAATGGTACAGTTATTGATAAGCCAGTTTTCTTGGTTTATTGCAATGGCTTACAACTTTATGCTGGCCGAGTGCAACGCGAACTGATGTTTATTTCTACACTTTAGTCCAGTCATAAAATCGATCTAGATAATCTAAAATTGCTGCAACACTATTTGATCCAGTTACTTTATGAAAATCACCTTTAGTTGAAGTCTCATGAGGTGTGATGGAGAATTTATTGAACGTTCTGCAGACAATTTCAAATCTTTGGATATTTGTTGCTCCATTTTAATCAAAGCTTCCATAAAAGCAAAATCTATGCAACGAAATAAATCAGAAACGGGTATAGAAATAGAGTGGAACGATTTATAAGTGTTGTACAATCGAGCAGCGTAGATGGGCTGGCAAGCCGGCGCCGGCGCACCGCTCTACCAAATTGTAAATATGCACTGATTCATAGTTATGTTTAGAAAATTATTGACTTTGTTATATGGTGGAATTTAAGATATTTCTACATTTGTTTTAGGATTTCAGTTTCTGATTATTTTACTGAAGATCTTAGTTGTCATGTTTTTGTAGTATTGATACTATTACGAAATACGATTACAAAACAGGGTCTTGAGACCCTGTTTTGTAATCGTCTCAATTTTTTTCTATCAAGCGGCTTCTTCTCATCATTATTTACGTGCTGCAGATTTATCCAGTCCAAATATTAATTTATTTCTTGTCCGCCTCAAGTTCGCTAATTTTTTTCTCTCAAGAGCCACTCTCTGAAACTGCTTTACTGTTCTGCTCGTACTCTATTAGCCAATGTTCCATAGTCACATGCATGGCCCAAATACTGCCGCTAACTATACCAACACACATTTACATGCTAAATTAACATTTCCTGCGTTAAACATATCTTGTACCGATAAGTTTTGTCATCAGTAAGTTCTTCATAATCAGTTTCTCAATATTTCCAAGTTACAATGAAGTAAGATTTTGTGCTAATTGCAATTTCACAGAATTTTCGCAAAAGATGTTGTCACCCAAAAGTCGTCGACCGTCCAGAATAATCCAAAGTATGGCTCTTGGCGTCAATCATTTTATTAGACGGAAACATCTAGTACACTATTTAAAATCTTCGCTTTAGATTTAAACGAATGAAAAGCTGTGGACTCTGCCAACAGGCGAGCGGTAGAAAGGTGTGTGACAATGTCCCCTGGGCAGAGATGGCAGAGAGTACGCCCATATTGTTGACTGAATATTTTCTACATCACATTGCGTATCAAATGACGTCGGTCCTCGTACTGACGCGCTGTTGGCTCCACACCACATGTCATTGCTAAAATAATTAGATCTATTTGTTTTTCTCTTTCAAACTTTTCGTTTTTAAGTTCCAATGCCTCATCTCTCTTGTTGTCCAATACATAACACCATTGTCTGAATTATATCAGTAATAAGTTATCGCAACGAGGTGCATCACGCAATCGGTTCCGGCTCATCCATCCTTCATAAACGATTTCATTTAAGTCTATCATCGAAAAATAAACATTGTTTACATCGATAAACGAACCGAACTACAAATCTCAGTCTATTACTTGAGAAATCTAAATCGAAAACAATAAACAATCAATAAATCCACTTTAATACACCATAAATCTGCCAGAAAACTGTGGAAACGCGTCACGGCGCACCATCACGTACCCGTCTCAAGGACGACGCCACGCGAGTGAACATTCCCGGGACACATTGTAAACTCAAACTCTGTTCATAGTTTTCATAACACTCACATTTGAGGTTGTTATTGCGCTAAAAACACAAGAAGGAACTGAAAGATATTTTCGACTAAACAATGATAATCAGGAGGCATGTCATTGCCAAATGGGACAAGCTGACAACAACAAAAAATGTCACAGATGTAGTAAACCTATTAGAGAATGAACCGTTACAATTCTCGACAGGAAACTCATTTAGGAAGACGTTTTAAGTTTACCAGGATTCAAAGTAAATGGATGAGTAATTGAGGTACAAAATTGCACGGAATTGCTTAAGGATTTTGGGCTCTAACCTAGCAACAAAAGTGTAAAATTCAAAAAAAGTCGGTTATACGCATGGAACGTGGCGCGCGCGCGTGTGAATCGACGAAAATAGCCCGCCCGAATTATAACAAGTCGGATGGCGCCTCCGGCGGCGCCGGGCGGCCGCACGTCGGCAGCTCCCACGCGGACGCTAGGATAAACCCTAGATACCACTACTTATTCATCAAGGTTTTTCTGGTTATCTCAAACACATACTTGTGTGACCTCAACCAAATCTTCTTAATCAATGACCCTAAAATTAGAAGAGTCATAATGTTCAATGATCTTTGAGAGACCTTACTTTTTGTTATTCTCATTTGTTTTGTTTTAGATAAGTTGTTTTATGAGTTCTTCGATACGCACTTTTAGCATTGTTATAACATTGACATATGTAAATCACTAAAAAGCAAGGACAGTGCTGTTGAAATTTATATTTCTTAACAAGAAACAATAGTCCTTAATTTATTTTAGTTTTGTCCAATTTATGCAATAAGAATATTCGATGGTTATTTACATTTAACAAAGTAGTAGAGAATATGACAACTAGATGGCGTTGTAGCGTATTGACGTAAGATGTCGCCGTGGACCTTGGTTGTCGACACTAGGCAGGACCGGAAGGCAATGACGTACAAACAATACGAGGTGAATTTATATGATGCAAATAGTCGGGCGTTGATTGATCGGTAAAATTAAATGCAGGTACAGCCAATTGTAGAATGAACACGTGCAAAGGTTAATAATTAAGGAACCACAATAAAATGAAGCTATTGAAAATAACTTGGTAACTATTTAGCGTGGTGACTATAGAATATCGACGATGACATGACTGATCCAACTTGTATATCTACAAATTGTGGTCGAAGCAAATTCCATTGA